CCCGTATTTCGAACGAGAATACTGTTCGGAATTTTTTACGGAACTATACCTCCAGTCAACAAGAGTACATTCATTTTGAGCAGCTTCCCAACTCTATTGCTTCAGAATTGCAGTTATTGCTATGAATAGGAGCAATCAACCTTATCCCCCTGCTGATATCGATCATCGATTTTTATCTGTCGTTCAGCGTAGAATTGAGTGGCTTAGACCACTTGATCAGATGATCAAGTTGTGAATACACAGTGTTTTCCTGTCCTCCATTACCTTTTGATACGTAATTTTTGATGGATGCAGGTACGCGTCGTCGTGCAATGAGAAGATATTGAATATTTCTGATATATTTGAAAATAACTTTCGCCAGTTCTTTGAGCTGAGTGCTGCGGTATGTTCATAAACGCGGTTCAATTCGATTCAGCAGCCTCTGTAAGACATTTTACATCCACAGCAGTGGGAGCTCTGTTTCCATGAAGGGTCACTTCTGTCAATGGAAACAACTTCTCTTCTGAGTGAATCGAGCAGCACCTACCTCCGTTGATTCACTAAACCAGGGACGGTAGTAAAGTCTCCTAAATAGCCAGTCTATAGTTGGCCAATAGGTCACGTTGACCTCGCCTTCGTCCGCACCAAAAAGCATGGGGAAAGGCGGGAAACTCGCGCTGACCTGCCGCAGAGGGCGAGGTCTATACCACATCTTAAGTGGCCAACGTATTAGGTGGCACCTTGCCTAGACGGCGAACCCGGCAGAGAAAGGGGAAAGTGCGTGGAGATTGCAGAGACGCAGAGGGTCATGTAGAGGGCGACTAAAATGTACCCCTGAGTACATTTTAGTCCGTCTATCTGCGTCTCTTCAATCCCCATGCACTTTCCCCTTTCTCTGCACGTCATGCATTGGTCGCATTGAGCGTCTCTGCGTCCCTGCCATGCGCAGAGCGCAGGGAAGAAAGGGGTTCGTGGAAGGTGTTGAGTGTGGGCAGCAAGAAAGCCACTGGAGCTATCGATAACTTTCTGCCAATAAGGTGATCAGCTGTCCCCTGCAGTGTTCCACTTATTGATCGTGTTATAGCTCCTTCCTTGGTCCTGGGAGCATTTCACCCCTGTACAATCATCTAGGCCATGATCCCACATTCAAACACGTCGATTGGCGCAGTGGGTTCGTTCCTTGTTGACATTGGATCGCTCGCGGGATCAATTCTCCATGATACTGGATGTTTTGCAACCCTCATAGGTTACTACCTTGCTTTCTACAATTCTTTCAAAGTAACCCAGCAATGCTTTGTGGTGCAGTGGCAAACGTCGCGCTCATGGGCGCTGCATTACATGGTTCAAGTCCATGGCGACGCGACTTTTGCTAGGAATGTAGTGAAGTTCGCCATTCAGAGCGGGGTCATCTGGCTGTCTCGCCTTTCATTATTCACCGTTTACGGCCGTAGTTCACCACCTTTAACTCCCAGTCTATGGCACTTTACTACCGTCCGCAGATATCTTTACGAGTCAGGTTGTTGCCAACAGGTTTCTTTGTTACGAATGGATTTCCTTTTCACTAGGGAGCAAAAATGACTTAGCAACGATCAGTTAGTGCGCCTTGTTAGGCGAGGATAACCCATCTGGTAACATTGCAAATACACTAAACTATGACTGAAATCGCGAATCAAGAATCCACAGCAGGGTGAATAACGGTCGAGGAAATCCTCGACAGGGGGTCGTATTTGCTCCGATGAGAGTTGGGAGGGGGTCGTAATCAAAAGGGTCATCAACGGACA